AATTCCTTTAGAGATTTCAGGGAAGATAAAATCATATGCCTGCTACTTCTTAAAATTTATAGTGCTTTAAACTTAAGCCTATTTATGTATTAACAAAAAAAATTAAAATAACATATATGGAGAGATGGAATTCACTTAACACTACTTAAAATTTATTTTCCTTTAAGCCTTCTAATATGTGCAGAACCTGTAAGACACTGTTTTGTCCTTGTATGTTTTTTTTTAAATAACGCATACCTACTGTATAATATAAAGTTCTGCTTAATTTTTTTTTAATGCATAATATTATTAATATTATATACTGTGACACTTTGTGTCTCAAATTATAGATACCTATAAATAATTGATGCAACAGGCGTTGGTTTCTAACCAAGATGTTTTCTCTTCCCCTTGCTACCATTTATTCCTCTCTGCCTGGATATCTCATTGACGTTTGCTTTTGATGTCTCTGGTTTGACAATGACAATGTGCGGTATCGCCATTAATTTGTTGTTTATTTTTCTCGTCTGATGAACACTTGCTTTGTCTGTGCCTATTAAATATGTCTGGTCCTCCTGTACTACCATTATATGGCATGTTATTTCAAATTGTATTTAATGCATTTTGATCATGAAATGGCATGATTTCAACCATAAATCTTAATTTTGTAACTTTATTCTTATTATTTTTGTATCTTTTTTTAAAACTATATATAATCACATGTGTTATTTTTTGTCGCCACCTTTGTAATATTTTCTCTCTTTTTAAATATCTGTTTATACTTGTCAATTTCATATAATGTTTGATATTATTACAATCTGTTATATTATCATTTTCATTACCTCATTATTTCTGCGGCATGGATGATGTGGTCTTATTTCCTGTTGGTTGTTGTATTTCTGTTCTCTTTATTATCTGTTGTTGATTCTCGGTGAAAATATTTATGATGTATTTTGATATTTGGTTGTTGTCTTTGTCTCCTTTGTAATTAAATGTGACATCATCATCATCATTGTTAACATCATTGTCATCATCATCGACATGGTAATCATTCTCTGCATTTTCCTTTTCATCATCATTGTCGTTGTGTTATCATCATTATCATTATCATCATCATCTTCTTTATCATCACCACCATTGTCATCATCATCAACATTATTGTCATCATTCTCAACACCTTTCCTTTTCATCATCATCTTCATCCTCATCATTTTCACCATGGTCATTATCATCATCATCATCATCATCATCATCATCTTCATCATCATCATCATCTGCATCATCATCATCATCATCATCATCTTCATCATCATCATCATCTTCTTAATTATTAATGTTTTTACTACCAATATCAAAAAACACCCAATCATCTATATTCTATAAATCTTCAATATAAACCTCCAGTTGCCTTTGTATGGATTTTTTTACTAATTATTTTATAGATGCCTCTACGCTCAGAGAGCCTACGCAACTTGAGCTTCCAACACCTTCCAGCCCAGAATGTATATGTACCTCACATGTCACGCCCACGTAGTTTGTGCCTGTCCGAAAGCAGCTTCCCGTCGTCACGCCCGGAGGTGTTTGAGCCATATGGTGCGAACCCATCCAACGTTCAGTTCGGAAATCTTAGTAGTCTTAGTTATCAGCACTTAATGATGAGTGGAAGCACCAAAGGACTGAATGGTGGTAATAGAAGAGTAGGTGCCCTCAAACCAGTACGAGAGGAACTCAGAATGGTAAGTGAATCATAATAAATTGATAAATGTAAATAGATAAAGATATGGTCCATGTTTAGAAAATGAAATATGGTTTATAGGCCCCTGGAAACCAATGGCTCCCCAAAAAAAGTTGCATCCACCCAGTTGTTCCCCCCCTCCCCCTAGGCACTGAAAAAATAATGACACTGAAGTAGTTAAAAATCACTCCACTTCTTCAGTGACCTAGTGCCCACTCACTTAATCATCAAGCTCCCCACCTTCACCCATCACCTCCCAGGGCTGGGTACCTTTGGCTGGCATACGTAATACTGGTTTTGGCAGGTTTCAAACTGTAAAGAAAATAATCCAATTGATACAAGATATGAGATAAGTTTTTGTTTGCATTGTGAAAGAGAAATGTTTTCTCTGATGTTGACAGAATAAAACAAACATAGAACAAAAAAATATATAAAACAAAAAATCTAATCTTATCTATGTGCAAACATACTAAAACACATTACACCTGTTTTACACTCCCTTTAGATATTATTATTTGTATAGAGAACTGCATCCTGGATTCAAAGTCCTGTTTTACACTGAGAAGCATCCTGTGCATATATCACAGTTTGTGATGGTTCCAAAATTTACTACAGTCCTGTATGTTGGTCTCATAGTAATTTAAATGTAGTGTCATAGCCCTGAACAAAAACATATGATATTCCTAAATATGGTCATGATGAGCTTTAATTTATTATCTTAAGGGGCCAACATGATTACACAGAAAACGCAATGCAGTGATGCGCGCTTTAGAATGTTTTTAGTAAAGATATAGCACCTTTCACCATCTAAAGCCTTTGCAGTGTTGATATAGCCCTAGTTATTAGTCCGGCAAATTGGCAAAAACGCAGAGCGTGCAACCTCCTCCACTCATCATAGGGAGTATTCCTAGTCATCCCTTGTAGTGCGCTGTACACAGACCAATACATTGAATGCTGCAGCATCCTACCAGGTATTACTTATATTTCTGATGGAGAGAGATGCAAATGCCATTACTGAAGGACTCAAATGAAGTGGAAAGTGAGGATCTGAACTTCTTACCTCGTGGTTTGGACTCATGGGGTTCACAAATAAATTTGAGGTATAATAGCAAAAATTCTCCAGAAGAAAGTAAATACAAACCATAATGATTATATATTTAACATGTATATATTTAGGAATCCTAAGGTGGACAAGTAAAATAAATAAAGATTGCTTGTGTTAGTACCGATTTTTGCCCCTTTAATTAGAACTTCATGATTAATAATAACATACTGTTAATATTTCACTCTCTATAGAACATCAGTTAATTTCCTGGTAATTGGTAATGCTGTACTAGTAAACGATATGCAATCTCTGCTCCCTTGTTAGGATTTAATGTCAAACATTAAACATTTAGCATGTGCAGAATAAATTATAAGGACATTCTACTGGGCATACATTTATACTTTCAAGTGCAGAGAGACAAATGAAGATAAAGTTCATTTCAATTAGGAATTTGACTTGAGACTGGTGTAACAATAACCATTCCAATAACTAAAATAATATCTAGGCATTCACACATAACATAAAGTTGCAGTTTTATTATTAAATGTTACAAATAAGGTACTTGTTTCTAAATGACCCTTAAGGCCAAGTAAAAAAAAAAACATGTTTCGCGTCCCCGCCTGCATCGTTTTTTTCGCCCGCCTTGATTTTTTTTTTATTTTTTATTTTTGGAAAATTCATGAAAATAAAGAAAATTTCCCGTTATACTGGCCCTCTATGTCAGATTGTATGGAATAGTTTCATGTGAAGACGTCTGAGACGTAACATCGAGAACATTCCGTTTAATATATTTCATAAAAATGATGTATACTCAGGAGTGAATGTGCACAATTTTAATGTGTTTGATTCAGGTTACTTTACAACTTTACCTTACATACTGCAATGCCACTGTGAATAGAAAAAAGCTTATAATACCCAATAACACTCTTGCCAAATAAACAGTATACAGCTTCTAATCTTGTGTGATGTCTT